CAAGCAAACATCAGATATTCAAAAATGTTCATTCACTAGTTTATGTGTAAACTGTTTCTCTTAATTAACGTCAGGTCTCCGTCTCACTTGTGCCTTTAGATCAAATATGTCAAATACTTGGTGCCATAGAAATATTTTGTTGATGTGCTTTACTGACCTCAGTCCAGTTTCAGAGTGTGGGAACATTGTGTTTAATCTTGTATTCAGTAAATATCTCATATCGTGTGAAGACGTCAAAACAATATCAACGTCGGATGTCGGAGCCTCTCACCTGGAACTTTACCTCAGATTCTCAAACCTGATGTTTGATTGACATCTAAACTTACAGGTCATTTCTTTATCAGCTGTTCGTCACGTTTCTTTACACCTCACCGCTCAGCAGCTGATATTAAACAGTGAATTCTGACAGTCGTCGATGATCCTGCAGCTTGTGTTGATAATTTATTACATCTTTGTTATTAAAGAGATTTGGGTAAATCTCGACAAATTTTATTTTTTTTAGAAATACTGCAAATAAGTTGTAGTTTTCTTTGCACGCAATAAAAATCAAGTCATTAGTGAACTGTGGAGTTATTGCTTTTTATTTTTGCAGTTTTATTCACTGTGTCTAAAGACATTTCTGCAGAAAGTGTGTTTTGGTGGAATTGTTAAAAATAATAATCACCTTTAAAAGGAAGTGTCAGAATAAAACAATAATATAAAGTCAGTCTGAATGTTTTGCGATGAGTGTGACCTGCAGCGCGTGAGTGTGTGCGGAGCTGCAGAGTGAAATATGGACCGGTGCTCTGCAGTGACGGCTGGTGTTTCATCAGAGAAAGTGTGTTTCACTCAGCGTTTGGCGTTTGACGGACGACTCCTCCTCTGTCTCCGCAGCAGCCATGGAGACGGATGGAGAGCAGAACCAGCAGGGGGCCTCGACCAATGGAAGCGCTGCGTCCGGGACCACCACCTCCTCGTCCCGCCCCTCTCCCATGAACTCCATGTCTCTGTATGAGCGACAGGCGGTGCAGGTAAGAGACTTTGTTTACTGTCAATCATTCTGCCCAGTTTTTTTTTACCTCCACCAAGGAGGTTATTTCTTCAGTTCTGTATTCCTTGTGCATGAAAGATGTGGTGTCAGTCAGCGAAGAGGAAGATTCTCGTGCGGATCAGACGGGCAGATCCAGGACGTGGACATTTTTACAGGGAACAATTTATGGTTTTGATCAAATTAAAAACACTGATATTAATGAGTGTGTGTGATTTTTGTGCAGCTCGTTTGAATCTGTCGGCCGTTGAGTCACTGAGTTTCATTGAACGCTGCTATTTCATCATGACCTTGTTAGAAAAACTGAAAAAAACGGAGTCACTGAGTGTGAACGCAGCTTGTTTGTGTGTACGAGGGAGGAGGAGAGAGCGAGTGCTTATTTATCCTCATGAATTGTGATGTATGTGGAAGCTGACGGACAGGAAGTGATGGAGTGGGACTGAAGCGGGAGGTGAAGGAGGAGATGGAGTCTCGCTGGGTGGATGGAGGCTCGGTGTGAATTTCTCAGGCTTCTGTCACCATCTGTCTCTGTCACCACACACACACTAATCTGTGTCGCCACGCTCGCTTTCATCACGCAACTTATTACGATACGAGTCTGCGCTCATACGTCAGGCGGCTGGCAGGAGGCTCAGCGCTGCTTCATCCCTCCCTCTCTGCTCTCGTTTCTCTTATTCCTCTCCTCTTTTCTCCCAGTCCGCCCCCCCCCCTTCCATATCTTCTGATTAGGTTGTCCATCACCTTCTCCACCTCCCTCTCTCCTCTCTTCTTCACGTCCTCCTTTCTTTCCTCTGACCTCTCTCATTATGTTCTCCTCCTCTCCTCCTCCCTTCAGGCCCTGCAGGCGTTACAGCGGCAGCCGAACGCAGCTCAGTACTTCCAGCAGCTGATGCTGCAGCAGCAGATCAACAACGCCCAGCTGCAGAACCTGGCCGCCGTGCAACAGGTAAAAGTGTTTTTAATGTTTGTTCAAGTTTTGCTGCAAACACGTCACAAATAATTTCAAGGAAGCAGAAAAAAATATGAGACACCAGAGAAACACTGAAGCAAAACAAGCAGAGCGTTCGTCATCACCCACAAACTCTGCATCAGAACAAACTGATGAAGATGTGATGAAGACGAGGCTGCACAGAAACAAACATGTCACCTTTAGTTTGAACCTAAAACTCCTCTCTTCATCTCTTTTTCTTTTCTTATTCTCCTCTTTTTGTTCTTCTCTTCTCCTCTTTTCTCTTTGTCTCCTCTCCTATCTTCATTCTTTCCTCCTCTCTTATTCCTCTTCTCCTCCTCCTCCTCCTCCTCCTCCTCTTCCTCTCCTTATCTACCTCCTCATCCTCACAGGCGACTCTGGCTGCCAGTCGACAGTCGAGTCCTTCCACCAGTAGCTCGTCTCAGACCAGCAGCTCCACATCTGTACGTCCGGTTCCTTTCTTTTTTATTTCTTTACTGAAAACATTTCCGTCTTCTGTCGCTGACTTTAAAAAATACGTTTAATACATTCTGTCTTAATCGGGTTAATTTTTAATGTCGTCATTTTTCAGGCGAGCGTAACATCTGGAACGGGCTCCACGACCAGCAGCCGTCCAATGGGAGGTTCAGCAACATCCACAATCAGCCAATCGGTACTTCTGAGTGGGACGGCAGCAGGACAGGGACAAATGTACCTGAGGGTGAGTGGACAAGTATTGATCAACAGTAGCAACTTCAACATGGTGGGAGAAGTTTTCCTGATGAGCAGGTTTAGTATTGGTTTAGTTTTTGACGGCGGTCGTGTCGTCCTGCAGGTCAACCGCTCCCTGAGGGCGCCCATCTCCTCCCAGCTTATCTTCATGCCTGGCAACACAGCAACTGCCGCCGTGGCGACCGTCACCCAGCAGCCGCAGGCTCCGCAGCAGCAGCAGCAGCAGCAACCAGAGGCGACTACAACCTCCTCCTCCAGCAGCCAATCAGACAATGACCAGGTTTGTGGACTCGCTCTGTTGAGGGTTCGAGGATGGACCGAACTTTCACCCTTCAACGTATCGATGTTTCCTCTTTGCCCCTTTTCTCCAGGTGCAGAATCTGGCCATGAGAGGTGTGACCAGTCCCAAAGGTGTGAAGACAGAAGCTCCAGAGAGGAGTGACTCAGGTAGGGAAGAAGGTGGAGGTCACCTGCTCCACGATGGTGCTGCGTTCGAGCTGCATGTGTTTGTTACAAACCTGGAAAAGTAGTTTTCCATTCTGTGTTTCTTTTCTCCAGCTGCCTTCTCTCTGGTCCAACCGTCCCACCAGTCCAACGCCCAGTCTCCCTCCAAGCCCAGCCAGCCTCAGCCCCAGCCCCCCCACATCAAAATCCCCACGTACCCTCAGCCCACCAACCTCAAAGCCCACCCCGCCTCCTCCTCCTCCTCCGGGGCGTCCTCCTCATCCTCCTCCTCCTCCTCCTCCATCCCGCTCTCCCAGCTCCTGCTTCATGGGACCCGGACCCTCGCCACAGGTACCACAGCTCCCACAGCAGCGCACACCCTGGTCCTCGCGTCCAACGCGGCGTCTCATCACCACGGGTACCCTGTGGGCACGGCGACCATCAAACCAGCGGTCAACGCTCAGACTCTGGTGGTGCAGCCGCTGCAGAAAAGCTCGCTCGGTGCTGAGAAATCAGGCCACGGCAACGGACCCATCCCGATACAACCTAAAACTCTGCAGGGGCTGCGTCTGCCCCTCCATCTGCCCTCGAGGAACCCCCCTCCCATCCTCCCTGCCCCGCCTCCAGCCAGCAGCTCCGCCCAGCCTCCACAGACTCCGCACATCCCAGTTCAGATCGTGGGGGCCAGGCAGAGCACTCTGGGAAACGGCCAGGCTCTGGCACTGGCCCGGGGCAGCTGCAGCCAGGACGGAGCTGCTGTCCTCACCAGCTCGTCCAGCCTGCTCACCATGGTGGCTTCCATCGCGTCCAGGGAGGGCGGGGTCGTTGGGCGCGGCGTGGGGCTGAAGGCACTGCAGTCGCCCCAGGAGGCTCCCCCATTAGCTCAGGTCTCTCAAGTGCATCCGCTGGCCAATCAGAGCTCTGGACAGAGTCAGAACGGACCTGTAGCTTCTAGCCCCGCCTCCTCCCAACCCCCGACTGTTTCCTCTCCGCCCTCCTCGCTTTCTCGTTCCTCCCTCCCCCTCGCCCTGGCGACTGAGGAGCAGAGAGGAGCGTCAGCTGGTGTGACCACTAACGGAGACTCGTCAGGACGCCGGACGCCGCAGGTCAGCTGATCCGTGTTTATTACTCCAGAAGTTGCCGGGTGTTATCACTGTCTGATTTCCTTTAACTTGGTGTGATCACTTGTGATTCATCTGTTTAGGGGAAGCAGGTGATCGGTTCGCTAAAAAGGAAATCAGACTCAAATTCAGCCAATGATGAAGATGGCCCCGCCCCTCCACGGATCCAGCCTGTCAGAGACCACGCCCCTGCGCTCCCAACCAATCCCATCAAAGCAGGTAACGGCAACAACGATGACACGTGTAACATGCATCTCCAGAGTTTGATTCTTTAAATCGAATGAAGGGAATATTCAAGGAAATGAAAAACGTCTTCCTCCCTCCAGGCTCTATCGCTCCTCCTCCAGCGCCCCCCTCTCCCGCCCCAGTCTTGTCCGTGTCCCGTGGGGCGAGTGGTCAGGGGGAGAGAGCTCCTCCCCCTCAGGCCGTGGTTAAACCTCATGTCCTCACGCACCTCATAGAGGGCTTCGTCATCCAGGAGGGGGCAGAGCCTTTCCCTGTGAGTTCATGGGATTTGTAGTTTCTTTCGCTCGACTCATTCCTGCAGGACACAGACTCTATCCGAGGCTCCTCTTCTGGTCTGAGCTCATGTCCTCTGCTTCATGTGCTCGTTCTCAGGTGTGCGGTTCAGTAAAGGACTCGACCGGTGACGATTTAACAAACGACAGTCTGGACATGAACCAATCAGAGACCGTCACCACTGCAACAGGTAACTGGTCTGGAAGCACCGCCGCCTTCCAGACAGGTTGTTTTGAACATTTTGAAATATTTGGAATTCTAGAAATACTCTGAAATCACGAGAGTAGAAAAAACAAAGTCCATCAATGTGCTGCGCTGGATATTACCCATGATCCTCTGCTTCCTGAACCAGAAGAGCTGCTGCTGTGACAAATCCACCAAGAGTCAGAATTCTTATCATATTTAACAGTTTGCTGCTGAACATTGGAGATAAACTCTGGTTGTTAGTAACTTGTCAGTGTTTTGAGCTGATCACAGTTCAGCGTCACTCTTCAACTGTCTGGAGCTGATTGTGACAGTTGAAGCTTCTCTCAGCAGAGTTACAGACGCTCAGGGAGTGAAGCAGGAAACTCTCTCACTCATCAGACTCACTCTAATCAAGCTGAGGGTTTAAGGTAGAAACGTTGTGTTGACTTAGCACAGATATGGAGAAGAGGATTTTAGATTGTTCAACAAACTGACCCTTGTTTGTCTGAGCTGGGCCACAGGAACGCTCCGAGGTTTTAATTACAGCCCTCAGAGTAACTGTGAGGCAGCATAACAGCACAGTGAGATATAATTAGAGTCTTCTTTTCCCAGTGCGATATGCAAACACAGAATTTAAGACTAAAAAGTCTCTGAGGCCATTTACACTTCATCTCTAGTGCTGCACATTTTACTGTATTTATGTACCAACAGGAAAAATTCAGTTCTTAACATTTGCTCTGTTGTTTCTCTGAACTCTCCCCTCAGTGCTGAAGTGTGAGTACTGTAAAAACTTTGCTCCTGCCAGCCAGTTCAGAGGCACCAAAAGGTTCTGCTCCATGACTTGTGCCAAGAGGTACTTCAACATGCATGAAATGTGACAAACACAATACAGTGGAGGCCGTCTGAGAATTCACTGTGACGCTGCTGTGTCATTAAGTTGTACGCTTGAAAAAGCAGTTTCTTAGAGATTGGAGAGTCAGAATTTATATAATTGAACCAATTGATCAACATTTTTAAAGCTACTCTGTAGAGCTCATATATTTCTACATAAAAATCAATTAATTATTTCTATGCGATAAATAAACCCACCTCTGAAATAACCGACTGCAGTAGGAGTGGAGCTGTACATCCGGAGAGTTTCCAAACAAAGATTCAACCTGTCAGAATAATTTTTTTGTCGTAAATGAGAAATATTGTAAAATGAAAAGAAAACATTATACAAGGCTTCAAAACTCATCAGGTAAAACATTTGCAATTAGATTTCAATTTCAAAACATATTTATCCCAGATATTACGAGGGGGAAATCAATGACGTGTGAATTCTCAGGCGGCTGCAGCTGTATGTTTTACAGCATGTATGTTCTTTCTGTATAAAATCTGTGACAGCTTCACTTCATGCTCATTTTATTCACAGAACTTGCATGTAAACTGTTCTCGTGTCAGATTCCAGTGTTTTCCTCTTTTCAATTTGCTCCATACTATAAAACCTGCCTTGTATTTATGACCTCATTTGTTCCACTTTATAAACAATGCTTGGTCTGCATTGTTTGTAACTGTATGATTTCACATTTACTGCTTCTGCTCTGTACTTGTCCCTTTGCCCACTGCATGTGTATAGCTTATACACCGTGTGTGGTGCAAAGAGATAAAGACTGTGTGTTGCTCGTCTTGCTTCAGTACCGTATATGTCACTCTTTGTCTACGATACAGTATGTATTGGTTCCCCAGGTACAACGTCAGCTTCAGGCAGCACTTGTGCGTGCGGCAGGGTCACGGCCAGGGTCAGGGTCACGCTCCGGAGCAGGATCGCGGCCAAGGTCACTTCTCCAACTCGGACGAGGAGGGAGGAATCGCCAGGCGGAGGGTTCCTCGCAGGACCAGCTCAGAAATAGCCAGTGCCAAGATAGCAGGGAGACCCTTACCTGTCAAGGTGAGTGTGGTCCGCCTGTGCTGTGGGGATTTAATTGAGCGGGTCGTCCACTTGATTGGAAAGTTGATCCCTGGCTCCTCTGCCTCGTCTCCCCCTCAGTGCCGTTCAGAGTCCAGCCATTCAGAGGAGGAGTCCACCGGAGAGGAGGATGAAGACGACCCCATGTCCCTCTCACCGGCCTCCTCGGCCTCCTGCCACCAGGCGCCGCCTCAGCCGCCGACGGAGAGTTCTGCACCTGGCTGCCTGCCCTCTGGCCCCGCCCAGTGGAGCGTGGAGGAAGTGTCGCAGTTTATCTCCTCGCTGCAAGGTCGGAAGATCTGATTGAGATGCTTGTTGAGATGCTTGTTGCTTATCACACCCATCAGAAACAAACTCCGCCCAGCAGAGTCATTTGTTAATTCAGTATTATTGTATGTCTCAAGTTGATTTATTGATGTTATGATGAGTCATTTTAATTTGACTGATCGAAGGTCAGAAAATGAATCTTTGATAATTTTCGATCTCCTCCTCCTCTTCTGTCTGTTCCTCCTCCATCTGTTCCTCCCCCTCCTCCCCCCCAGGCTGCGAGGATCTTGCCTCCCAGTTCCTGTCGCAGGAGATTGACGGACAGGCTTTGCTGCTGCTGAAGGAGGAGCATCTCATGTCCACCATGAACATCAAGCTCGGTCCCGCCCTGAAGATCTGCGCCCACATCAACAACCTGAGAGACTGACGTCAGAGTTTCCATGAACCAGCGTGTTCGAAGCCCCGGACATTTTCCCACAACTCTTGTTCGGTGTCCAGTTCAGATAAAGAACTGGTTCCAGAGCCGGCAGAGTCCCACAGGTGAATGTATGAAGTACACTTCCCCTCAAACCCAGACTGGGGCTGCAGCACTTGAGTCTGTTGTGGGTGTGACCACATGGTCAAAGGTCATGTTTTGCACAAGAATTTTGGTGAAGTCTTTCCAAATCTGCCACGTCTGTGATTTAAAACAATTACAACAGGTCACAAACTTTGTTTTGGTCCTAAAATACCTTTCCTGTGCAAAATCAGTGAGAAATAAATTCTACCAGGTGATTTCATTTTGCTTTTTACTTGTGCAATTTCAACTAAAAAGCAGGAACGAAGGATTTGAATGTATTTTCAGTGCAGCAATCACTTTGATTGAGCAGACGTTTAAATCCACAGTGCTTGTCCTGGTTTAAACTTAGTGTCCACACAGGGCTGCTGTTTCTGCAGACTCTGACCGAGGCTGCATTTATCTCATAATCCAACTAAACAAGCAAACCACACACTAAAGAAGCAAACGGATGATTGTACAGTTATTCCACTCATTGTATTATATTGTGCAGGAAAAGTATTATTTAAAAAACATCTGTCTTCTCTTGGCGTCAACAGTTTAATTCAGGCTATATTTTCTCATTGAGAGCTCATGTTGGATCTCATGTCTCTAACTGAAACATGCTTCACCTGGTTTTAATTCACAGTCGGCAGAGAGTTTGGACAGAAAGGCAGCGAAGAAAGATTTTTTTATGAATTCTGTTGAAATCTTGATGTATTTTTTAGGGAAGGATTCTGATCTTCAATGTTATTTATGTTATAATTAAAAAAAAACGTCCAGCATCATAATCACTTTGTAAGAATAGGGATCATCATGTGAAAAAGGTGGCACTTTTATTTTGGAAGAGGCCTGTTCTGTAACTTACAGGGTAAAGTGAGAGTACAGGGTAACGGCTGCAGACGCGTCCAAATAGAACCCGACTCCCTCGAGGTTCAGAGAGAATTTTATATTTCAGCGACAAAAAAAAAAAAGATGTTGCATATTTTTATTTGTCACATTCCTTATGTTGTTTTTTCAAAGCAGAGCACATCAACAGTAACGAAAGCATGACCGCTAAAAGCTTTCCACGTTTAGGCCGGAGACAAACTCACTGTTTAGCCACACGTTTACGCAGATAAGCTAAAGCGCCATGAGTGTATTTATTTGAGTATTTCGCCAGAGGGTACACGTAGAACTCAGACTCTATATTGCGTTGTGTAAATAAAAAAACATGGCGAGGCTGTAGGAGGTTAGCCTACGGCTTACTTCTGGCATCACGGCAGAAAAAGAGAAATTGTGGCGTCATCATAGATTGTTTGTTAGGTCCTCTGATCATCATCGTCATGACAACGGCGAGTATGTTTTTGTAGGTGACGGTCTGACTCTACACTGCCCCCACTGTTCTGTTCTTATAGTGTTTGTCTCGGTGTCCTGAGGAGGAGGTTGTTATTCTGGATCTTTGCTGAGGGTCTGCTGTCTCGCTCTCAACCAGATCTAGAATAACAATGTGAGCCTTTCATTTACGGACTGTCGCAGTGAGATGACATCGTAGCCACTGCTGGACTGATTCCAAAGGTTTTTTAAAGTACCAGTCACTCTCACACCGACAGTTATAAACATAGGGCTCAAGTTGAAAAATACAGGAATGTCCCGTGAACAAAATCTCTGACAATTTCAACATTTTGCAACCATCGGTGCAACCAGTCGTTTCTGATCCGTGCAGCAGTTTGTGTTCAAGCAGCGGGAAACGCCACAGGCTTGATTTTTATTTTTTTAAATTTTTGTGGTGACATGGAGTTTACAAAATGAAAATGCTGAAAAAAAGCACGATTGAGACTTAACCAGCAAATATGATGACGGTGATGAGTTGTTAATTTAATCTGAAGTAACTTTAAGCTACTTTTCCACAGCAAAACCACAAAGTCTGTTCAGACGAAGCTACACGTGGACCTATGGATAAAAAAAAAAAATCATTCCTGACTGAACGAGTGTGTGAATGAGAAAACTTAAACTAAGCTGTAATAATAATAACTTTAAACTTTGCCTTTATATTTAAATGCACATTTGTTTGCCTTGTTTTGAGCTTTTTACCGTTCTCTCATGTTGTCTCTCTGTGAACCTTGTGGCCTTTCTCACTAGTTTCTACTATTTGCTTTAGATGAGGATTGTCTGTTTTTTAACTGCTTTTCATATCATTCCTTGTTTTATATTAGTGCTTACTTTTTTACTATTGTTACTTCAAGCAATGCCTTTCCCAAAAAGCGTGACCGAATAGTAGCGACCTTGATCAAGGAAACTCGCCGTCTTCCTCCATAGCTTTGTCACATAGCGTGTAACTACCGACAGTATTTACCTTTCTAGCTATAGCTATCTTTGGCTTTTCTTGTTAGTGACTGTGGCTGTTACAGTATTTTCTTTTTTCGAAAAAGGACAATAATCTTTGATAGCAGCTGTGTGATTATATTTCTCAGTCGTCCCGGGATTTTGGAGTCTTTAAATCAGCAGGTCCGTCAGCATGTTATGAAGACCAAAAAAGAAACACTTGAACTTCATTTCAAGTGATTTGAGCCACAATTTCCTGCTGAAATCGATGCATCTCTGATGCGATTACTCCCAGAAAGCAGCACTTTTCTCACAGAATAAACTGATTCTTTTCTAATGAAGAAACCACATGAAGAAAAATGTGCTTCCTTGCAATAATCAGAGAAACTGCAAAATCTTGGAGGGACTGGGTTTAATGAGGAGAGATTAATAATACTATCATGCAAATAAATAATCAAGGAACTGTTTTAAAACTGCGACGTCTGTGTTTTTATTTTCGAAGTAGAAGAATTGTGTTTTAGATTGTTATCAGATTTTAATTCTAGATTTGTAGAACAGACTTGAAGGGCTGGACTATCAACAGGGCAAAGCACTGGAGCAGCATTGGTTTGTGAGAATCTAATTACTTACATGTTGCATACTCCTGCTTGAATCTGTGATTATTTAAATGTCATCATTACCCAAGGAGTTTGACTTAATCCACGAAATGCAAGATGGGAAAAAAATCATGCTCATTATTGTCTTCATAACTGTTCTCAAACGTTCTTCTGTCAGATTCTGATTCATCCCTAAATCTGTCATCGAACAGTCCAGGTAACACGCTTTGTTTGTGAATGATTCCAATTATAGTTAATTAGACAATCCACATGTTAAATATTCAAAGTGAGCGTGATTTATTAATCCAACAAACAAGTGCAAAACAAGTTTCATCAACAATATTTACAATAAGTTTCACAACAACATATTTAAGATGGTTGGTGATAAAGTTCCTCTTCATTGAGAATTCGCTCTTGCAGCGGTTTCTCAGGTGCGAATGAACGTCCGGACATTGTGCTGTACCGAAGACGCTCTCAGCCAATCAGAGCACGGCATAGTTGTAGGCCTCTCCATATCCCGCCTCCCTCAGGTATCTCTCGATGTCTATTGGCTCAGGTGCTCTGAGAACTGTCCTCCCATTGGCGGACTTTTCTCCCGCCTGAAGTTTCTTAATGACTTCCGGGATGGAGGCGCGCTGTTTGCGGTTCCAGTGACAACAGGAGGTGACGATGGAGAATCTGTCGACAGAGCCGGTAAACACGGTTTAACTCAACGAACACGCAGTGGGACTTCATCCACTCCGAGTCAGATGATTGTTCATCATCGTCACACACCGGGGACACTGAGAGAAGCTGCTTACTGTCGTTTGAACGAGGAAGCTAGCAGCTGTTCAGTAGTTAGCTTAAATAGCATCATTCGGTGGAAAATGATTGTTGCTCAGTGTTAAAGTTCTGACATGGAGCTGCAGTTACACTTTTGTGTCCAGTCCTGTTTCTGAAGAACCTGCTAGCTAACCTCGACACATGTGTACAGCATAGACTGTATATAAAGAGGTTAGCTAAGCAGTACCTGTAAACAACACTTCTCAGGACGGACTAGATCAACACAGATGGACTGAGAGTGTTTAAATCACACTTTCAGATTTGTCAAACTTTTAATCCTGTTTGAGAAAAAAAAATCAGAAATTAGATTTCAATGCTTTTATCTCAATCTGGATCGTGTCCAGATGAAAAACCACTTGTCAAATATGGGAATCTGGATTAATCCATATATACTTAATATAATTTAAAACACATTTCACACTTTCATTCTATTACAAATACTCTGTTTTTACATCCAGACCACATCAGACTGAGTCCAGCTCTAAAACCACCACACTTAAACATCACAAATCTCAAACTCTACTATTGTTAAGCGTTATGTCCTCCAGAGGCCTCTAGGAAAAGCCTTGTGATATTTCTTTACTTTAACACAACTCGTTTTCTACTGTTCATCTTACAGGGAGCTGGAACACATTGGCGGTCGTTTGAGATGGTTTCCTCTTTGCAGATGCTGCATAAGTTCAGTCGCCATGATCTGAGCAAACGGTGGGTCACCTGCAGACATGGGAGGTTTTTATTTTTACATTAGTGGGAAGCTGCTGCACAGTTCCAATGCTTAAGTCACAGAAGGATTTTTTGCAATATTTTATATATAATAAAATAACCACGTCAATGATAATCATGAGTCTTTCAATGGGAGTTCAAAGTTATTCTTTGCTGATAATGGAAATCAAAATTATAACTAATTGCAGCCCAAACGCTATGAAAATTTCACTCACCCAGTGTGACCATTTCGTAGAGCAGGATACCAAAAGACCATCTGTCAAAAAGAAGAGAAGGATAAAGATAAAGGAGTCATGTCAGTAAAAGTGGCTGAGGTTTGATCCCACATTTGGATAAAAGTTCATGAAAGAAATAAAGAAGTTCTTTAATTAAAGTTGAAACCAAGTGGCTAACCCGCCGTGGACTCGCACACTCACACATCGCTACTCGGACTGATGACTCTTCTGGCCAGCACTTCAGGCGCCTGCCACTTCCTCATCTCCATGTCCTCAAATTCCCCTGGAGAACTGGGCTGCGTTCTCCTTCTGTAGGCCGAGTCCAGACCCCACAGCTTCGCCGTCAGATCTCCACCAACCAAAACGCTGCGAGCCCCCACGTTGCCATGGATGCAGCCTTTACCGTGCAGATACTCCTGGATGTTCGGATAAAGACGGGGTGATGAGGAGGATGAGGACCGTGGAGGCATGACAAGAGTAATTCAACAAACACATCGTCCAGGCTTTTACATATATAATAGTCTCTATGATGGTTACAACTGAGTCATCAGGAGAAAACTAAGAACATTTTTATATGTAATCACAAAATGACATATAGTTTTTGTCCATGAAGCAGCGAGAGGGACAAATAATAGATGAACCAACCAGAGCCGAGGCCACTTGTGCTGCCATGATGTAGATCGTCTTCTCTGTCATGTCACACGGAGGCTCTAAACCTGAGCTGTCCTTTAGTGGCAGAAGAAGAAAAGGAACATTTTCTGAGTGTTTCATGTTAGTTGACACCCCCACCCCTCCTCCTCTCGGGGGTAATGTGTGTCTCTCAGTGGTAGGATATATACACGTATGCTGCCCAACACTGCCCCACACTGGCACAAAGTAGTAATTGCTTTAAAAACATACAAGCAATGTTATTTTGAAGGTGAGGTATATATTTATGTGTGTGATTATGATGTGTATTTTAAATTTATAGTTATTGTCTTTAATCTGCTCTATGTGATCCCATAAAGTGTTTTTGAGCATTGTGAAAAGAGCTGCACAAATAAAGTGTATTTTGGTTGTGTCAAGTCATTAAGCAATTAATTATCCTAATATAGACCATGTATGACTTTACCTTAATGATGTAATGATAAACTTTTGTTGCTTGTAAATATGAATTGACTGCAGTTGCAGATGGTGTTTTTTTTTAATGGGCTGGGTTTGTACTGAGCACATTTATGTAGATTCACCTTTAAACTGAATAATCTGGTTTCTTAATACTGTACCTGTCTACATCTCCACAGGAACCCTAGCAGGTCTCTGTGCTGCAGCTCCTCCATCACTATCATCATGGGGATCTGCACGGAAACTACACCCAGCAGCTCTGGTAAAAACGGATGCCGACCCAGTCCAGAGACAAAGGAGGCGAAATCCAGAAATTGCTGCTGCTCGCTGCTGCTTGCTGTTTCTGGAGAAAGAGGTCAGACAACAAAATAACTTTTTAAAGGCATATTTACCACACGTTGATTTAACATTTTTGATTTGACAAGTCACAAATATACAGCTTTTCTGGTATCAAAGCATCTTATAGTTTTTGAAGGTTTCTTAACAGCTCTGAGATTGATGCCCTCGGTCTGATTAGAAGGGTAAAACTAAAGTACAAAACTTTATTGTCTGTAAACCAGTTAACAGACCGTTCCTTGGATCTTTCAGCTGCTGAGGAACAAAACAAAGTAGTTGTCTGCATTCCTCAGCAGCAGTGCAGTAAGCAGTCACACCGCTGCGTGTCAGAGTTGGCTCAGTGCAGCTCAGTTTACCTTTCAACACTCTCAGGATGACGTTCCTGTCGTCCATGCGGGCTCTGTGAAGACTGACTGCATCGTTAGGTTTGATGGAGAAGGTCAGCGGCAGGGCGGTGACCTGGCTGAAGGCGTTGTGATGCCTCTCTGTGGTCGTCTGTGGGAGTGCAGACTTGACATTCTGCTGCACTTGTTTAACTGACATGGGCAGCTCTTCATGTTCTAGTGGGTTTATCCCAGGAGGAGCTATAGACACAAAGATGTTAATCTGTTTGTGTAGATATTTAGAAAATGTATGTAAAATGTGGAAAATCAGACACACAGATTGATGCATGCTCGCTCACCATCGATGCCTTGTAGGTGACGTCTATGGCTCTGTCTCTGTGTGTGCCTGTGTGATGAGCCGTAGCTTTGAGGGGCTGTTACTATAGACCGCCTGCGTTCAGGACAATACCTCCGCAGGAACAAGAACAGTAAGGTGACGAGGGTTCCAAACAGGAGCAGCGTGGGGACGATTATCACGGCCTGCATGTGCTCCCTTGTTACTGGGGGAGAAGAGAGAGGATGTGTCACTGTCAGGTCTAAATAGAAGAAGCACAGTGAAGTGAGGACAGATTGGTGTTATCATATGTCCTGATCCCCTCTTTCCTCAGTCTTTTTTGTAAGCGTGCGTTTGTGTCCCACACACTATGTCCTACTTGCATTGTGCTTTAAGTTGAGCAGATTTAGTTTCAGTGTTCTGCTTGGGGCACATTCACAGGATGAGTATGTTGGCTGTTAAAATGGTTTCACCTCTGAAGTGTTGACAGGATGCTCCATCTCAACATGACATCATCCTCCATTTACAGCGGTGTTGATATGTTGATTTATAGCTAAATGACTTATACTATGTTTGAATGCAAATATCAGTGCCCTCCGATGCTTCAGTGATATAAGGATTCAAACAGTGCAGAAATTAATCATGTATATTAGGTTTTAGTCATTTGGACAAACAGGTATTTTTACCACCATAACTTCCAGACGTGCACTGAAGTCTGTACATTTTCTGCACGGCCTGTATGTGAGGACGCAAATGTCCAAGTCTGTTCTTGACATTTCCTGGAACTTTTCCTGCAGCCCCCTCGTAAAATGTCTGGAAAATGTCAGGGAGTGAGTGTAAGTGAGAGAAAACAGCAGGAAAATGTGTTAATGAGGTTTCTAACATGTGACAAAGATGAAACTGGAAGAATATAAATATCTGTTTTTCACGTCCTGCCTCCTGCTGGTGTACACAGGCTCCACCCCTCACCTGAATGTTTCCCGTTGTCGTGAACACACTGAACATCACTGTCCTGAGTGAAGCGTAGCATTTTGCTTCATGTCACTGTCTGAGAATGATAATTGATATTATATCAATGATTTATTTTTCAGATTGTATATTTTTGAGCAAGATTCCATGTTCCATCAGTCATCAGCGTACATTGGTCCAACCCTAACCTGGCCGCTAACATAACAACTTTTGTCCTCCTGCGTTGTGCACATAACACAGTCGGGCTGTAATTGGACAGTTAGACAGGTCGGGATGAACTACGATGACTCATGCACTGACATTCTGAGAGAACTGATTCTCTGACAATCTGCTGAGTCACTGTTGTTGATAGTCATGAAAGTTTCCACACTGCACCTTAAATCTTTTATTTTCACGTTACTGAGCAGGAAATATAAAAGTTTGACTCCATTATTAAATTATTTGACTGTTGGATTCACTTGGATAGTTTTCTATTTGTAATTTTATTATTTTTAACCTTTCTTTCATCATATCGACTGTCCTTCATATTGACCCTTCACTGACAACCCTTGGAAATCAATGTTCTGGGTAGAAACACACACACACCCTTGTAAAACACTGCACCAATGGTGTGTTAGCAGGAGCAGAAGCCTTCACTCTAAAGCCCCTTGTGTGTGTATCGTGTTCTGGTTTTAACACATTCATAGATGTGGTGACAGACCTTCAGAATGGCGTAGATCATTTCTTTCATTCTCAGTAAAGACTTGGTCTGAGCTTGAACTTTTGATATGACATACGTCCAGTATCTCTGTGTTTACTTTGGGCTTGCTTCACCTGAGATGACTGGCATCCCTGTTCTCTTTTACTGGTATTTCTAGTAAAGCTTAAACTTGCAAACAAGAAATAACTTATCTATTAATCTCTCTGCGATCAAAAAGACTTTCCTGCAGTATCGGTGAGTCAGCAGCACTTAATCTAATCCTGTGATCACACATCGCTCTGAGTCTTTCATGTGACATTATCTGGAGGTTGCAACATCACTGCAATCTGCAACTGGTAGCTTTGTAATATCTTATCAATACAAATAGTGGTTTACTTTGCTGTTGAATACTAAAACATCCAATTAGGTTAGAGACTTTCAACCAGGACAAATCCTGTAGCTTTATATTTCATGTCAACATGACCTCAGCAAAATCATCCATGCACCAGGTTTACAGCCAAATCAAGGCAGCTGCTGGTATTTACTGTAGTGAACACACACAGCAGGCAGAGAAGTGGAAAATGTGACAAAGGAGAAGCAAACGATAGAAAAGCACATTCAAAAGTCGGGGATGAGAGAATGATCATTTAAAGAGGAGCGATGAAAGGAGAAGCCTGTCGAGTGCAATTTTCATTTATCAGCTCATACACCCTGGCAGCAGTGGGGCGAAGTTCGATGGCATTGCTGTTAATTTAGAAGCAGAGAAAAGAAGCTTGTTTTGCCAGTTTTAAGGTGTCCTGTGTTTTGTGTGTGGGTGGGTGGGTGTGGGGCAGGTTTCGTGAATACTGCTGCTGTTAGGTCAGTCTCAGGTGCTGTTGGGAATCTTAATCCACCTTGTGTTGGCGTCTCATCCACGTCAGTGATAGCAAGAGAAGAGAAATTATTCAGGCTGTCTGTCCGTCTGTTCCATTGTTGTCAATGTGATGTCCCAAAAGTGAGTTAAGAGAATTTCTTCAAATCAGTTGTTAAAGGTCAAAGGTCATGGTGACCTCATGACTCTTAAAATAAATGTATGTAGACTGAAACTCCACCGGTTGACAGAGACGTTTAGGTGTATGAAACTAAAATCTTTAAAAAGATCTAATTGTTTGTGTATTAAGTTGAGCTGGGTTTTTTTTTTTCCTTTCAGCTGTTGTTTATTAAATCTATCCAGAGCTGAAATAAAATAAATTGAAAAATGGATGTGATTCAGGTTTGCAGGGAAATTAAAAGGGGGATGAGACAAGATGGTTTGAGGAGGAGTGAGGGAGTAATGGAGAACAAATAGTGTCCTTACTACAGAGGTTGTCGTCCGGCGCACACAGATTATCGGTCGTGGAGTTGGATGACATGCTGCAGAGGAAGAGAGGGACACGGACAGATCAGTGTAACTATCAGCGGGAGGAAGAGATCAACATTACCTCTGCTCAGCAGCCGCTCTAAATCCCCTGAGCTCTCACAGAGTCACGCTGCGTCTTCCTCTTTAATAACTGTAGAAGTTGTTTCAGAAGCTCTCAGTGAAGTTCAGTAAACAGCGGCACGCACACCCAGAGAAACACTGACTGATAGAGAACTTTCAGAAAATTGAGTCAATAATTACTGTGGACATTTTTATCTGAACTTACACAGCAAACGTAAACTGTGACCTATTTTCTTTGTAATCTGAACCCACACGGCAAATATTAAGGGGAGTGCTTCATGGCTGGATTTCTACATGTATTGTTAACCAGCTATCAGTTACACACTCATTTATTTCAGAGGTCTCAGATTCCACTGTTATTGGTGCATGTATCTTATCATTTTGTGCATCAAAAATGTTCACTTGTCAGAACTTTGGTTACCAGCTGAGAAATAGGATTTGAATGGTGAACAGACAATTCAAGGTGGATGTTATCTGTAGCACTTCAGCTGATCCCAGGTCAGCATTTGTTTTTGCTTTGATCAGAGACGGGACAGGTGGGATGGATTTGTTTTGAACAAATGCAATGGGCAGTGGGACGACAGTGTAGGTGTCTCTACTTGAACATTGCAAAGTGGAAAATATGTTGAAAAGACACGAGGCTCAAGTACAAGTTAACGACTCAAATGTGCCCAAAGGACATTTGCATGCGAGCACACAAACACAGAAACACACCCTCACTGCACAGGAACCTCTCGTTCTCCATCAGGGATCTAAACGCTTTTCACTTCCCTTTATTATAAAGGGTTTTCATTCAACCAACTGTTTGCTGATATCCTAATGAAGTTACAGTTTCACAAGTTTAATATAATCAGAAAGAGAAACTGAAACTGATGCTGATCATGTAGCGGGATCATAGTCGTAGCCAAGGAATTACCCGTATCCAACATGTTTACGGCTCAATGTCTGTACCGTGAAGAGGTGGAGATAAACTGTCCATGTTTATTTACAGTCCGTTGCCCGAGGAGAATCCAATTTTATTTATTTCCTACAAAGAGGAAATTCGGATGCTATGATTACAAACTGAAAGTGTCTGAGCCCCTGCAGCAGAGCACGGCCTCATCACGTGATGAGAGAGTCCTCCAGATTGAACACTAATGACAAAAGGGAACCTGATAACATTGACTATGAGGGTGGCAACATCTGGAGATAAGACTTCTAATCTACACACACACACGCAACTTCAAGTGTAGTACGAGAGAGACGCCACCTGACG